AACATTTATAACCTCGTAAAGTGCATGCACTTTTTTCATGCTTTGTTTACCATATATAACAACAACAGCAACAACAACAACAGCCATCATTCATCTTAATTGCAGCTCCAGGGGGAAAATGCAATTCAAAATTGCTCCGGAACAGATTCGATGGTAAAAATGTGAATGAAAATGTGACATGCTCTACTAAAACAATAAAATAAAGTGGAGAAAAACAAACACAAAAAAAAGAAAAACAGAAGAAAATTGGCAAAAAAGTAACAGTTGCACATGCGAACATGCAAATAAATGCATACAAGTGCACTCGCATACATACAAACCGGCGCATAGACGTGGAAATTGCTGTCGTTTAAGCCGTTGCTACCAAAGCGCGAGCATCCATATAAAAATTAATGACTTTTAAAGTTGATTCACTGGGTGCCGATTTGCTGGCTTTAGTTTTAGTTGAACGCAATTCGAATAATTTCACTGTCATTGCTGCGAAAATGACGACATGCGATGTGAAGTAGCAAGATCCAGCAACACAAAAAGACAACAAAAATGGCTTATATGCCTGCTGTATTAAAATTCAGTTTTCTGGTTTTTATTTTCATGTGCATACATGTGTAAATGGGTATTTGTGTGAGCATAAACAAGATTGAAAGTGTGTCAGCAGAACAAAATCGACTGCGAAGTTAAGCCACATGCAAACGGCTGGTGGTAAGTGACAGCGAAATACACGTAACAACATCAGCAGCAACAACAACAAAATAGAATTTCAAAATTCTGTATGAAACCAGCGCAGCACCCAATAAAAGCTGCTGAATACACACACACACACACACACACACACCTAATGACCAGTTTGGGTTAAAGTCTTGTACTAAATGAAAACTAAAGTCAAAGTTAAAACTAAAATTCTTTACCAAAATGCCAACACACAAACGCTGGCTGCGACGCACTCGCACGTTTATATGCTGGTATGCGCCGCCTTTGATATTTCTCTCTTTTGGTATTTGTTTTTCTTTTTTATGAAAATGTAGTGGCTATACAGTACGAGTTCGAATCCGCTGCCATGAAATTGCAAGCAAAATTTTTTGTTGTTTGGTGGTCATTGTTATTTCCACTCCTTGGTTGATGTCTTTCCAAGTATTAACAGGAGGGATATTAAAATTAATTAAAAAAATGTATTTAAAAGAATCAACAGACCGTGTGATTTTATTAAACGATGCAGCTTTGAGACAAAACGATTGCCCCGAGTTTATCTCTAATATATGTTGCATTATAAGAAAAAAGCTAAAGACAATAACTTAGTTGATATCAAGAGAGAAAAAACCAGTATTTTTCCCTTGATTCACCACTTAGGGAGGCTCTATGTAGATAGGACCAATGACGTGGTTTCCTTCATAACCTACTGATTCAATTATTTTTAATAATGTTGATTAGAGTATGCGGTCGCTGATGAACTAACTTGCGAGAAAGAGCGCCCCACTTCCGCTATCGCCTTTGCAAAAAAGTTGTGGAAAAATCAATTTCCACTGAAATATTAATACAGAAGAGTAATTCGTCGCACTCAATGTCCAATAAGATCACGAGAGCTCTTTTTGCTAATAAAAAAATTTTTAGCCTGTCTTCTATTGAGCAGGCACACAGAGAAATTGTTGTGCTATAAAATGAACATAGAAATGAGTTGAGAGAAACGTCAACCGTAAGGTATTTCTCTTACAACTATTCCGTTATTTGGAAGTCCCAGCCCCAAAATATGGCAATCTTTAGAGACTTGAGCGAATATGCGAGGAGGCGTCGAATACTCAACTGCAGTCAATGTTTTTACTATCGGATAATTAGTTCTCTTCAATAATATCACAGTAACCTGTATAACAATTAACCTACTCCGGAGATCCATTTCGAGGTTCAGTACTTTTTTAAAATAAAAAACACGGAAATTCAAATTTAATGGGGGGTTATTTATTATCATTCGAAATAAAATACTTTGCATTAATTTTACGAAGATTATCTCTTTCAAATGGTGGTTGTGGCTAGACCTCGGATGGTCCATCCTTTTCGATGATTTGTTCGTTGTTTTGTTCAAGGCCTGAAACGAAGCGGCATAGGTTTTAGACTTTACATAGATCCATAGAAAAAAGTCTAACGGTGTGATATCACACGATCTTGACGGCCAATCGACCGGCCCAAAACGTGAAATTATCTGCCATGCGATGTGGGTGAAGGTGGCTCGTCTTGTGAAAACCAAATATCGCCGAGATCACAATCTTCAAGTTTAGGCATCAAATAGTGGGTTATCATGGTGTAATTTCCGATGTTTCCACTGCCTCACAAACCGCATAAAACAATTGGTTTTTCTGAAAAGTTCGGATCTTCTTGTCGCTTGGGAAAGTCGAGCGGCTTCCGCCCTTGCACAAGCAGTATTTTGTTCGCTTTCAACTTAAGATCTCGACCAGAAATGCGCAAAGTTGTTCCATACAGTCCGAGCTACTGCGAATGGCGCCGAATCTTCGTGTACACTCTCAGCTAAGGCCGCTATATATTCTCTACTGCATTCTGGCAAGTCAATATTATGGAAAAAAGTACCTCTGCTTGGATCACCCGTTATATGTAATTGCCACTTTACATCCTCTGATTCAATTTTAGGCCGAGCTTCTCTTAACATAAAAGTAATTTATAAAAAAATAAATTCAAAATTTTATTTAAATAACTTCATAGATTTTTTGAAATTCTCACATTGCCCCCCCTAAAAGAGGCCCGGTAATTCAGTGCCCACTGCTTTTTATACATAAAGTATTCACCTGAAGGTATTGACACGCGATACCGCTAAGCTCAAGTCGATTAACAGGAGGGCACAATAAATGAAAAAAATAAATACTTCAAAGACCGAGGCTGTAAATACGCCAATATACGTTTGCCGCATGCAAGACGAGTAACGCGTAGCGAGCAGCGCGTAGTATACATACATATTTCCTTACCTGCAGCCAAGCGCTTTTCAGGCGTCATAGCAATAAGGCGGCAGAGCATCAACATTTAGCGCCAATGTGAATGAATGAAATTCACTTTTTCCGCACGATTCTTTGATTTTTCTTTTCTTCATCAAGTGCATATGTATATGTAGATATGTATATACATGTATGTATGCGTATGCCCAGCTATTTTCTCTTTTTCAAACGAGCTGCTGTTACGGTTGTTGTCGATGGATTGGTGTTGTCTTTCATTGAGTTTCAGCGGAAGCGCCAGCAGATTTTTCACATTCACATGTTTTCTTATTTTCGCTACTCTTTTCACAACTACTACCACTTTTGAAACAAATAGGCCAACAGATGCACAGCAGATGCGCGTGTGTACGTGTGTGTTTGGGTTGCTTGAATAAATGAATGAACCGCCGGTCGCCGCGTCAAGTTCATTCGCCGTTTTCCATATTTAGGTTATTTGCTTCAATTTGCTGCTGTCGATTTGTGCTGTTGGCTGCGCGTTTTGCGCTTTGGTACTGTAATTTGCCATTTGTTATGGTTGAATGCTTGGCGCTCTTTTGCTTTTCGCTCATCACTTTGCCGCTGTATTTGCTGCCCTTGCATACTTTGCTCAGCCGTCATTTAGTGCATACCATACCATGCACTGAGGCAAAGCTTTCGGTTTCATTGCAGATTGACTATTTTTTCATTGACTGTTTTTTGGATGTATTCAAGCGATAGAGAGATTCGTTCACACTATAACTTTAGGTATTATATTTATTTAAAACACTTTATTTTAAAACACTTTGATTCGCTCAGAGAGTTTGTAGCGTATAAACAACGAAAATTGTAACGAGAACTTAGATATTTAAAAAAAAAAAGTTAAAAAAATGGAAGGTCTATTTATGGACGGCAAAGATGTGACGTTTTAATATTTAATCTCAAAATATCTTAATCCATATATCAAGTACGCGGACGGACGGACCATTCAAAAAAAATATGGTTTATAATTTGGACCAAAATATGACAGCTGAGTTGATGGGTCATGAAATATACCGGACCACTGTCACTTATATAGGAACGATTTCTCAGAATTGGGGTCATAACTCCATCAGAAAAGCATTTGGGAGCATTAAATTTTGGTACTCGAAATCGGTTATAGAAATAGGAGGACAAAAATTTCTTTGCGAAAAAAAGCCTTGGTCAAAACTCCATGGAAAGAGCATCTGCGAGCGAGACTTTGGTATTTAGCACACATATATGTACATATATAATACAAATAAAAATGGAAAACGAAATTCATCGAAATTGGGAAGAGTTTATCATATAACCTCCTCCAATCAGCTTTTCAGATTCTTCTTCTACTGCATTGGTTTTGGAACCGCTTACGCGACTATATATAAATATATAAGCGCTAAAGCGATTTTCGGTCGAGCTCCTCCTTCAATTTGTGGTTTTGTGTATTAATATTTTTTCCCAACAAATGGAGGGAGCTACAATTTATACTAAGCCGCCTACAAACGGCTTATTTTTTTTATGAGGAGCTTTTCTTTTTTGATTTTCATATCAGAAATCCACTTGGAGGGGTTGACATTCCCTGCCGAGGAGGCGACCAAAATTAGGAAATGTAACTTAATAAAACGATACCAGGATTTGATTTCGAAGCCCTTCGAATGGCCGTACGCAATACTAACCACTCGGCTACCGCGGCCTCTATAGCCGAATCAATTATAGCACGCCTTTCATCCTTTCCTTTCGCTGTTTGGCATAAATTGGAATACCAAGTGAAACTAGGTCACTCTCCACCTGATCCTTCCAAGAACTGAGGAGTGTAGGGGTTCTTTTTCCTAAACCAGCAGATACTACATCGAATACTTTAACAACTGTGGTGCTTTCATCCATTCACTGAACTATGTTAATATCATCGTATAATTAGTAATCATAAATCGTTCCCAAAACTTTTTTCAGCTTTTGACATCGTTCACGATTCTGCGTCATATAGTAGAATGGGTATGATGAGCAACTCGGTTTTGTTCGCAAAAAGAGGACTTTACTCACCTAATCAGTCCAAGGAAGCAAGAGTGATTCTGCGTTGGATTTCAGTTTGGAGAATGATTATTGAGTCCCCAAATGAAGTACTGAAAATTTATATATATTTTTATATTTAAATACAAACATTTATATTTTATTTATTTTTATAAAATTTGTTTCAAATTTTTTGCTTGTTTGAAAGTAAAAATTATAATAATTCAGAAAATGAAAATATTTGAAATTTAAAATTCAGTAACACAAAAACTGAAAAATTTAAAATAGAAAGTAATAAATTTTAAAGTAGATTCCCACAGCTATTAAAAGTACAAAGGCTTTCAAATGGCAGCACCTTTTCTGTGATTTACAAAGAATATTATTTCCAAAATATTTTTATTTATTTATCTATATGCGTGCGAATATTTTATTTTCTATTATTTTTATATTTTTATTTAGTTCTATTTCTTGTGGTTCAAAGCAGCGTTAAACTAAACTATTTTAGAGTCCTGGCTACGGCACTTCGGTCAAAAAAATTTAAGTAATTGGTTATAAATATTTTTGGCTTTTAATAACAGGGCAGCCAACGAGTTAAGAAAATAATCTATATTATAAAGGGTTTTCCAATAGGGATAAAATGATTTCTATGTGTCGTTTCGGCCATTTCTAATATGTCACGATCTGCCATTTTTTTCACTGTATTCAATAATGTTTACAATTTCATCAAGGCAAGATACACGCAAGAACAACAACTTAAAAACGATAATGATTAAAGAAAAATCATCTTTCGATTCTAGTGCGAAAAAGATCCACAAATTGATAGTTTGGTGGGGTTTTTGGGTTGATGTCATCATCGGTCCGTACTTCTCTCGAAATGAAACTGGTAGCATCGTGCCGGTCAATGGAAATAACCAACTTTTTATGGCAAAAACTAGAGAAAGTTAATCTTAACAACATCTGGTACCAACAAGACGGGGCTACGTGTCACACACTTCGAGCAACAACCGAATTATTGCGAGAAAGGTTTCGGTCTTCGATTATTTGGAGAAATTGTGACATTGAATGACCTCCAAGAAATTATAATTTACCACTGTTAGACTGCCTCTTGTGGAGTTATTTGAAGTAATTCGTCTTTAGCAACAAACCAGACTCTCTTCAAGCTAAAAAAGTCTATATAGGATGCGCTATTTATGACATAAGACTTGATTTAGTATAAAAAGTGTTCAAAAATAGGTTTCATTCAGTTCGTTCCTGTTGTATTCAGAGCTGAATTGAATCGATTGTACTTCACATGTACATCATTCTTATTGCAAAATACTATATGTATAGCGTCTTGTAACCGTTGAACCAATTTTCGGCAGAGCTCCAATTTGTGGAGCGCATCTTGATGGTTTTAAAACAAATGGAGGCCGCAAAATTTTATGCAGACTTCTCTCCGAACGGCTGATTTACTGTTAAAATTGTGCTCTATACCAACCAATCTAATGAAAAGCTGATATTTTCATATCTCAACAACTTATTAGCCTAATCTAATTGTTAATAAACCAATATACAATTCGTATGTTCGTACAGTACTAATGAAATCCATAATCTTTACAGCGTTTAAGTGCGCCTAAAAATAGACTGATTAAAATGATAGAAAATTTTTAGTTAATTTTTAAATCAATTTCCTAGCATACAACGAGGCTGATGCGATTTCTTTTATTTGCGCATGCGTGTCAGTTTGAAGCATATTCACAAAGAACATTATGGTACTACCAAGTATGACTTAAAAAAATAAAATATGTTGAACAAGAAAATCTTCATGTTCACTATCATACAAAATAGGAAGTTATGAATTTTTTACTATCCTGATTATGTATAAAAAATATGTAATATGAAAAAATACAATAATATAAAAGTTAGGCATGAAAATGCTTTTTTTTAAGCTTATGAAATAAAATACAAAATTAGTTAAGATTGCATACTATTGAAAATAAAATTTAAAAAAATATGTAGTATTCTAATTGCGGTCGCTCTTCAGCGGGGAATCTCAACACCTTCAAATGCATTTTGACAAGAAAAAGTTCTTTATAAAAATACATTAGCGCCTCGGAGACGACTTTAAATAGGTAATTTTATTTGTAAGAAAAAAATCATTTATATACCGCGAGTTGATTGAGAAGCTCGGCAGAAAATCCTGACAGGGGATATAAAGCGATGAATTCATATTTTCCGCCGAGTGGTTAGTATTGTCTATTGCCATTCGGAAGGTCTTGGTTATTGTTTTGGTGCACTAATATCCTAAATTATTCAAAATTAATTTCTCTAAATGCTGCCGCCCTCGGCAGGGAATGTCAACCCTTGCGTGTGTAATTATGGCATGAAATAAAATCTTCTCATAAAAATCCAGCTGCTGGTCGGAGGGAGCTTGGAATAAGCTGTAGTCGCCTCTAATAAAACGCTCACCACACTTTGGATTGGGAGTTTGGCCATAAGTTGTTTCAGCGGTTAGAAAGCGCCAGTTTTATGTACAGACAGTTATATAATCCTATATATAACCATATAATGACATGAAATCAAAACAAAGAATAAGCAAAAATTTTCAATCTGAAAACAAAATTAGTTTGATGATATCGAAAACCTCCGTCTATAATACTTAAATACTCTTGTAGGTAAATAAATAAAAAAGAAGAAAGAGGAACATTTTGAAGTCTAATTTTAAGAATTTGATTATTGGCAATGTTTATTTGTGTAATTTTTGACGAATTTTCATTTCTGAAAAAACGGGTGTAAATATGCTATAGTGGCTCATACCAGTGGGGACCAAATTTAGTTAAAATATTAAAAAAAAAAAAAATAGATTACGTTCGCATAGATTATGAATGGATATGATTAAATCTATTCAAGTCGTCATTCAGATCCCGTCGGTATAAATTTTTATGGGTCTATCACTTCTCTTCCTGGTTTTTACATACTCCGTAACCAAGTTAATATGCCATTTTACGCTCCCTAAAGGTACAGGGTTATCCATCTTGTGGTTTTGAAACTGTATTATTTGTATATTGACATCATTCGGTCAATATTCGGTCTTGTGGCATGTGGCACAAATCTATTGAAACCACATATCGTTTCTCAAATGCAGTTCAAAGAGCGTGGTTTCATACGCACGGAATTTAAAGTAACACTCTCGACTCTGTCGTTTTCAAGGAAGTAAAGTCCAACCAAACCTCTGGATCGGTTGGGAAATGTTCTTTATAGCTGCAGAAATTTTTATTCGAAAAATCGCCGTTCACTGCTTGTTGTTCACACACCCAACTGACGTATGAACAGCATTGTGAATAGTCAGCTGGCCCTGGTTGCTGTACGAGCTAGACATTATGTAAGACCAAATGTCAAATATGCCATAAAGTGCCTGCTCGAGAGAGGGAAACTCTCGTGTATTCGGCTACACTTTCATTTACAGATGCGATTGCGTTATAAACTTCTTTCCTTTCTTCAAACCCGCTTAATGGATAACCCTGTATGTGCATATATGTATGTATATATGTTTGAAATATGTTGATCTAAAAAAAATAATACTTCTAGTGACATTATTTTTTACCCATCGAAATCTATAAATAGACCAATGAAATTAAGACTACCTGCCGAGGAGGTACCACGATCAGAAAATGTTTTGGATTAATTTAGTGGAAATTTTCAAGGTTATTATATAAATTATATAAATTTTTGGTGTATATGTATATAATATTTAGGGTGCAATTAGTATTTAAAAATCAAAAACCATGAGAATCATCTTCTCAAGTTGTAATGGTATAAATTAATAACTAATCTCAATGAGCGCAAAACTACTTTCGATGCCATAAAAGGAAAATTGCATTGGGAAAATGAGAAAAGAAATGAAAACTTTGCTTTTGTCCACACACTAACAGCCCAACTGCCTGGCCGAAAGTAGGAAAAACAGAAAACTTGTTCAGCATTTCTAAGTAATTCACAAAATTCACAAATGCACCAATGAGCATACAAATACACACATACACGCCGAAATGTATGTATGTAGGCGCATGCGTGTTTGTACACTCTGATAAATGTTTGCGGTCTAAATGACTTAGCGGGAGTGTGAGTTAAAATATATACACGTGTATATATGTACATCTACATATATTTGTAATCAAGAGATAATGAAGACTATGTACATACACAGATGAACATTTATAAATAAATGTATATAGGAATTTCTTCAAAGTGAATTTGGCATAATTTCCAGCGAATATATATTTTTTTTAATTTCTTTTACTTGGCAGACTGCATTGATATAAAAGAAAATAATTCTTAAATGCTTATAACGGTTATACAAATATATATGCCACGGCGCGTGTTGCATTTTTTTAATATCGCAGACATACAAATAACAATAGCACATACATATGTATGTACGTACATACTGCAGTTAATTTGCGAACAGACATGAAAGTGCAACAGATTAGAACGTTTATAACTCGTTCAGTTAGATACTCGAGTCGAGAAATGTAATAGCAACAAATGCTATTATAAATCAAATTATTATGAGTAATTAGCCGTATAAGCATGCAACAGCAACAACAACACATATAAGTATTAGTACAACAAAAAATGTGTTTGTTGTTTTAAATATTTTAAATGAGGTATAAGAAAATTGTGATTAAGAGTAAAATGTGTTGCTGTTGATTACCCAAAGTACACTGTCTACATAGTTTGTAGCGTTTGATGCCTCCACGCGCTGATACACTGAGAGAAATTGAAGAACAAATAACAAGTGATGGGCTGTTTTGCTGTTCAAATTCTTGTTGGTAAATGGATAGGAAAAAAATTTAGAAAACTTCGAGAAACTTACCCAAACCTCTCCTCTCCTCTCCTCTCCTCTCCTCTCCACCTATTGCAATTGTTATATTAAGATTTTAACATATGTTTTTTTCCGTGTACAAATGATTTTGCGTGTTTCAGCGCATCTTGGATTTTTCATTTTACCAACAACACAACATTTTCAATCTTGCAGATTTTTGCACAAATTTTCCTTTTTAACACAAGCATGAAAAGATGCAGTAATTCATAGTTGCCATGAAACCTTAAGTGGAGTATAAAACAGTTTCACAAGCTTGAGAGCATATCAGTAGCACTTCCAGAGCCACACCGGTGTGGTGGCATTTAAATCATAAAAAGAGCAATATAAATTTAAAAAAAAACTAAGCATACAACAAACTAGCAACAAAGATATCAACTTCAACGAAAAGTCATTACATTAACACATAAGGACCGCGCAGAAGGATACCACGCGCCAAACATAGTTCAAGCATTTTCCATGTGCATTTCCACAGCTTACAGCGCGGCCCACCAAAGACACTCACAAACATGTTAGGCCAAAAATTTTGGCTGCTGACAATACTGCTGGTCATTTCATGTACCTTCCGCAATGTAACGTCGCGCACAGCTACCGGCTCAATGGCACAACAGCTTACCGCGGCGCAGAGCAAAGACGGCGGCAGCGCGCAATCAACGATCAATTCGGGAGCGAGTAGCTCCACTGCCTTCTGGGGTGATCTCTCACAAGCCTATCGTATATATAAGGGTTGTGCGCATGATGATCTCTCAGTGTGTTTAAAAGTGAAACTGTTGACGGGCTTACAACGTGTACTGCGCTCCTCGAAAGTCCTGAAGATCATTGATGGCGTGCAATTCGTCAGAAGCACTGACGATTCGACGGATGGTGGGGCGACAGCGAAAACGCCAACTTTCACAAATGAAAAGGAGCTTGAGGCGGTTTTGCCACGTGGAACAGCAGCCAAGCAACAGGTGTTACACAGTATGATTGCGAGGGAACTATCTAATCTTTTGCAGAACTTTACGCTGCAGGTAAGCCGTTACAGAGATTTCACTATTCAATAAATAAACTCAAACATTCCCCCTGCACACAAACATGTTAAGGTCAAATTCCCATACATGCCCGGCACTTCAACACCGGGCGAGGATGGTGAAACTGCTACGGAAGCGCGTAAGAAAAAGGATAAGAAAGGCGGCGGCGGTGCTTACATAATGATTCCTCTACTACTCGGTGGCACATTCATACCAATTGCATACGGTGCACTGGCCATGCTCGCTGGCAAAGCGTTAATCGTATCCAAACTGGCGCTTGTCTTGGCTTCCATCATCGGCATTAAAAAGCTACTCAGTGGCAATAGCAAGGAGTCGCACGAAGTGGTCGTGTCGTCCGGCGGCCACTCGGGTTGGGGTCGTGATATGGATCTGGCCTACAGTGGTTGGAAGCCGGGCAAAGAAAATACGAAGACAATGTAAATGTGTATGGAAAAACGACGTAAGATCGACGTTCATTTAGGTGGACACAAGGACAGCTGGACCAAAGATGTTGACGACGAAAGCTATAATTAATTAGATTTTTTTTTTATTTATTGTTTATTCATATTTGTGCTTGAAGCCCAAAAATAATAACAGTTGTAAATGTGTGTGTTAAGTTTTCGCCTTTAGTAATTTAGTTTAAATCAATATAAAAATAAATAAATAAGTTATATGAAAATAATTACATGTAAAATTAAAAAAAAAATACGAATAAAAAAACATAAGTTGTTTTCAAAAAGGTCAGCCATGGTTTTAATTAAGGCTCATTTTTCCATTTTGGGCAGAGACTTTGCTCACAGAACTCTCCCAGTCGTGGTTGCAATCTCATCTATACCAAACTGCTCGAAGTAATTTCCTTTTGCTGCTGTATGCTCCCAATAACCTCATGAATTCCACCTTTGAATTCTTTAATTGGACCTGAAGGAAGAACTGCAAGTTGTTAAATCACAAAATCTCAGTGGCAAATTGCGATCACTACCACTACGAGAGATAACACGGTCCTAAAAATCTATGGTATGGCTTCTTGTGAGGGCGTTTCGTTGAGAGTAAACGTTGTACAGATCACCACCATCAAATTTCAGTCATAAAAATCATTAATCATCTCTCGTTAAAGCAATCCATTAACCGCAACTGTTGATCCAGTTTAATTTTAAAAAAGTAAGGTCCATGGCTGAGAATGAAGAGGCTTTTCAACTTTAAATCTTGGGTTCCCCGAGATCCAGATGCGACAATACGCTTACTGATGTGACCATCGTGGGTAGAAATGGGCGAGTCATCAGTCAAGAGAAATTTCGATGAAATTCCGGATCATTTGCAAAGGACCCAATCAGCAAAGACATGACGTTGTTAAAGATCGGCTGGTTTTAGTTCCTCTGTTAGATGAACTATATAAACCTTAAAATCCAAGCTTTTATGCAAAATACAGTGAAGTAATATCTACCGGAATAGCAGGCTATTTAAGATAACATTTTATATTGAAAAAGTTCTTTTTTACTACAAGTCTGCTTCCTCCATATTAAGCCTAGTCTAAAATGTTACAACCTTTGTTTCTTCCTTTTCCAGCTAGGAGCCAATTATGAGGCACCAAGTTAAGTCAGGCTGTTCTCGTCCAAAAGAATGAATCTGTTATGCGACTTTGCTCCTTGTTTAACAAGATAAAATTTGGGTTTTTAATTTTTACTGCTGCTCAAATTTGTATAAAGTCTTAAATTATCAAACAAGCTGGTGAGCGAATGGGGAAATGGTCGCCAAAGCTTCGTTATGAACCCAGATATGAGTACTTTACTTGAATTATCTCCCAATAAGGCTAGTTCCAAACCTTATATCTTTCTTTAGACACTAAAATATCTTAGTTGTAATGAATATATATCGATTCTTCTTCTAATCCCCCTTTTCAGTCTTTTACACAACAGATAGAAGATATTCTTTATCAGAATTATTTTGAGATAATTTCATATTCAGTGGTCATGTGATACTCGGCTGAAGGCATCGACGAAATAGTACAATAGTATGTGTCATGATAATTTTCCCACAAATCACGGGCGTAAACTTCATTCTAAACCGTCTCCGAACGGCTGATGGACTGTGTTCATATATCTTGCAAAAGAATACTATGAGAATTAAACTTTTCCTGCCTAGGGTCGATCGCGGAATGTTGTTTTGCCGCGATTCAAACTCATAACCTTGCGTATAGCAGCAACTACTGTGTTCAATTAAAGGACTTCCACTCATCTGTTCATCAGGCACAAACGTGTAACCATTTCTAAACTCTCACTTGTACACTCTTGTACGATTTATAATAATATCACATTAAGTACGTTTTCCCTTCCAAACGAGATGAAAAATGACACGTATGTCGATTCTGACAACAGACTGGATTCACATTGCTCACGAAACGTGTTGTCACGTCGACAGTTCTCAATGCACTGAAACCAGATTTGTTGCAGAGGATAGAAGTCTGGCGATAATACCGAGTTGTCAACTTAACCAAAATATAATCCAACCGGCGGTGAGAGTCTCAATATCCTTACTATCTGGATATGCCTCGCACAAGAATTTTATAGAATATATTTCAATTTATTTTCTCTAATGACCGTAGAACAATATTTCACTTTAATTTCCAAGTCCCTTTCTTTCACTCTCTCTCACTGCTTTAAATGAAGTATTTACGAACAAAAAAGCATTTCTGCCCTTAAGGCGTTGGCTGTCACTCGAAGTGAAGTAAGCCGTCGCACGTTTCTCTATGCCGCCCATAATGTGTCTTGCATATATATTGATTGTGCATATGTACATAATCACTTATTCATACTAATACTATTTAACACAACACGTGTAGACAAAAAGCTGTTGACTTAGTGTTGCTCTACATGATAGCTCTTAGCGATAAGTAAATAATGTACAAGCAAACGATTAAACATTTTCAGTTGAAAGCGCCCAAAGTTATGGATTTGCGATTTTATTTGTACAATACATACTACATACATACTCGTATGTATGGAGCTACGAATGAGATAGGTTGCAAAGTCTATATCTCTTTAGTAGACATATTTATCAAAATTAAATTCAAATTGAATACACCAGTTTTGTCTTTCTATGGTGTTCAGATATTTCCCACTGCTTAAAGAACATCCTGTTTCCACGCTGAATTAAAGAAAATTACTTTTGAATTTATTTAAATTATCCTTAAGGTTTTGACCTCATTTTTGACGTAAAGACTTTCTTTTTAAAAGTTTTTTTTTCAAGTAAATTTAAAGAGAGAAAGATTCCTTTCAATTGCAGGGGCGTCATGCGTCAAGAGGTTGATACGGTCTGCAAGTTATGCGCAGGAGGAAGTCATAAGTGCATCGTTAGAACAACGCCTCTGTTTCTGTCTGTCCTTACATAGAACTGGTCTTATACTAGAGTTTCAAAGTAGTAGCGGAGGCCTTAAAATTGGATATTTCGGCTCTCTTGAGCTTCGCGAAAAGCATTAACGTCATACACAACGGGAGTATTAAGGCGCATCAATTGGTCAGTATAGCATAACCATACACATTTAACTATTTGCGAGAAGCAACACTGTAATGGTATCACAGCCATGTTATTCTCCCGGCATCGCAAACTATGACTCTTTTATTTCAAGAACTGAAGGATCCATGAAATGATGACAACGCTACGTTTCGATTGAGGAGATAAAGACTTCATCGCAGAAGGAGCTGAACAAGATCAGAAAGAGGTACTTTTTTAGGAGCTTTGAGGTATTGAACAAAAATTCATTATTTTTGGGACACTTTACCCATTAATTAAATTAGATATTCAAAAATCAAATAAACACCTTTTTTTAGAAATACCAGAAAAGGTAAAGTAGTGACCTTCAAGCAGTAATTTTGTTTAGAAAGTTAATTTAATATTACTAAGTGATCCATAACATCAAAACTTGAGTTGATGCGGATGCATTACTTAGGTCAATATGCCTATTGTGATACTGCTGAGGCTCCTGCCTTCACCTTCTCAAATGATCGAATCATATCGTGTGACTTATAAAGGCAAAGAGATTTCCAATGTACGCTGTGTCTATCAGCGCGACAGTAAAAAAGAAATGTTTTCTAGGGAACCTGTATCCCCAGATGTCAAAGCTGGACAGTGGCAGAGATAGTGCTCGATGGTGTCCTCCTTTTCTTCGCCCCTAAAGCTGCGGCGAAGAATATTAGAGTGATAGACCCATTAAACTGTGTTCAGTTGACGTTTTGATTTTGACCATAGCTGTCTAGTCACGTTGCACTGGATCTCGTTGAACCATCTTGAGTCAGCTTCACTGGTAAAAGCAAGTTTATGCATGAACTTTGCCGAAAACAGTGGTAAACCAGCATCGTGTGCATGTTTTATCGCGGGTAGAAGGATCCCTTCCCTTGCTAGTTCATCTGCCAAATAATTGCCTGGGATGTCACAGCCAGCTACAGTGCTGTATTTAGTTGAGAGTTTGTTCAGAAAGATCCTAGATTTTGTGTACACTTTGGCGTGGTATCATTATATTGTAGAGATGTGATTGCAGCTTGATTGCCGGAGTTTATTTTAGTCGACTGTCTGCTGCCGTAGATTTGTGCAACCACTCAATGGACTCCATGATTGCAAAGAGGTCCGTGTGGAAAACACTGCTGTGGTTTGGTACCCTCATGCTCATGTTCAATGAGAGCATGGGAGAATAAATTATTCAGCCAACTTTTAAGCTTCGAGCCATCTGTGATGGCTATGGCTTTCTGGTCGGGGGCTTGGTACTTTCCCACTCTCTGGCGTATTCCAGTTCCCTCGGTACTTCTGCTGCAGGTAACTTTCTTGTGTTTTCTATACTGCAAATCTTTCAAGGTTGAGTTGCATTCAATCAGATTTCATTGAAGCCCACTTGTAGTTTCCCGTACAGGTTCAGAGGAAGAAAGTAGTTTGCAATGCTACCATTATTAGAATAGACGCCGACCATTTAACTCTATGTAATTTGATCCTGAAGGTAATTTTATTGAAAGCTGGCTACCAAACGGTGACTCTGCAGAATAGGACTACCGATGTATATCTCTTTCCTTGAACTTTCTGCCATGTTCCCGCTCTAGTTTAGTTTGCTATCTAAGATTATACCGAGATTCTTGACTTCGGTAGAGAAGGCGATTTCCACGCCCTTTAGTTTAAGTGGTTGATGTCTTGATGTTTTTCCAACAAACGGAGGGACCTATAATTTATGCTAAGCCGCCTCTGAACGTCTGATGGTTTCTTTTACGAGGAGCCTTTATTTCATGTCCGACATACACACGGAGGGGCGGACTGTCAACGATCAAGAAAGCGATTAATATACTGGCAAATCGGTTAACCGATAACTCACAATTTACTCCAACGACTAGGCAGCATAATGGCTTTGAATAGATATTTGGTGCTAATAACTGGTAAGCTAATGAGTTGGCGATAACATTACGCTGCAAATTGTAAGGTTGGTTTTGATACTTAAAAATGTTTTCCTCAACAAATCGACTTTAGTCACGCATCACCCGCATTTCGTGGAGCTGTA